CCTCTGCTTTTCCCCACACAGATGAGATAACACAATGGTCTTGTAACCATACACTGTTTTCCCCCACCTGCTTATCTTAGGGGTGGGAGTGGGGATTTCCTGGGACACTGTCAACTAGTTTTATAGTAGTGCTGTCTGTGTGTCTTTGGGTTTGCTATCCTAATTGCTCCGCATGTTTTTATTTGGGAAGGGGGACTTTCAAATATTAAACCAACTTTGCCTTCCTCAAATAAGCCAAACTTGGTTGTAATACGTCATTTTAATGTATCACCAAACTCATTTCACTAATAATTTGTAAAAATATTTATGAAATTGGTTGGCTTATATTTTTTCTTGAAATATCCTTGTTGGGTTTTCTTATAAAAGTTATGCTGTCTAAATTACAAATACCCATTCTTTTTTATGGATTTTTGTGTTAAATTGATATTTATTAATTAAAATATAGGTAGCATTTATTGGTGAAGCTATCTGAACCTCAATGTTCTTGGTGGAATATTTTAATTAAAAATTTAATTTCTTTACTACATGTAGTACTATACAGACTTTCTATCTCTTCTTGTTTCAGCTCTCAATTTCACTTAATCATTAAAATCATTGAAATAACGCTGTCCAAAATCTCCTCTGATTATCATTTCAATCTTGGTAAAATCCATAGTTATGTCCAACCTTTGATCCCTCATATTGGTAATTTCGTCTTCTTTCTTTTTTGTTTCTGATCAGTCTTGCCAGTTCTTATATAATTTTATTTTTTAAAAGTTTGACTTTTTAGAGTTTTTCTAATATATATAAATATGTTTATATTTTACATACTTCTGCTCTTACTGATTTCCTTTCTTCTACTTTGTTCTTTCTCTAGCTTCTTAAGATAGATATTTTCATCAAAATTTTAGCCTTAGTTCTTTTAAAATATATACTATATATAACATATATCATACATGAATAATATAGCTAAAAGGCTATACATTTTCCTCTGAGCATGGCTTTTACTGTAATCCACACATTGTGATATATTTTATGATTATTAACATTCAGAAAAATATATCTTAAAATTTCTACTGTGATATTCTCTGAATCAGAGGTTATTTAGAAGTATATTACTCAATTTCCAAATATTTGAAAATTTATATTTATCATTTATTGATTTCTTAAATATTTCTGTGGTGGTCACAGAAAATAATCCACATGATTTCAATCCTTTGATATTTGTTGAGATCTGCTTTCTAGACTATCTATAATAATAAAAGGGTAATATGCTAATTAGACCAGACATCATTCCGGATGTCATTCCGGACATTCTTCTGGATAAAGATAGGGCCGGAGGGAAGCTGCTGCTGGCAGTTGGGGGAAGGAAGGCCTACTCTTGCATGAATTTCGTGCATCGGGCCTCTAGTATTTGATAAAAGTTCCATATGCACTTAAAAAGACTGTTTATCCTTCAGTTGGTTGCTTTTGTCATTATTTGCTTTATGTGTCTTTACTCCTTTCTCATTATGAAATATCCCTCTTTACCACCAATAAAGTATCCTGTTTAAAGTCTATTTTATCTATTTATTAATAGAGCCACAATAACCTTCATATGTGGTGTCATTCATGGCATTCTTTTTGAAGAGGCCAGGGCAGTTATCTTATAAAATGACCCACTCTACAGTATTTGTTTCCTCTTAGTTTTATTTAACTTGTTCCTCTATCCTGTCCACTTTCTGGAAACCAGAAGTGAGATTTAGCTAAAATAGGTTTAGGTTAAACATACTTAGCAATAACACTTCATAGGCAGTGCTCTGAATTTTATATTTTGTCATGTCAGGGATATGATCATTCTAGCCTCATAATATTGTTGGATGGATTAAATGAGAGGATGTGTGTCAAGTGCCTAAGATGCTATCTGACACATTATAGGTAAAGAGCACAGTTTCCCAACCTTAGCACTACTAACGTTGTGGACCAGATAATTCAGTGCAGTGAGCATTGTCCTAAAAGTATTTGATAAATATTCCATAAGCACTTACTATTATGCCTTGTGCAAGGCTTTGAGATTAAGAGCTGAATAGAACATGAATGCTGATCTCAACATACTCATAGTTTTAGGGAAAGATAATGAGGCAAATGGGAAATTAAAATATGGTGTGGTAAGTGCTGTAACAGAGACAATCATGTGCTATGAGAGGAAGGGCACCTAACTCAGTCTGGAGCAGGGATTCATTCACCGAGGAATAAAGAACAGAGACTTCTGAGTTGAGATCCACAGGACAGAACTGTCTCCCCTTTCCCATTAAGGCTCAAGAGATCAAACCAGTAATGACTGTTGTGGATGAAAATAAACACTCAAGAAATAAATGATCAAAAACCCATATAATTTCCAGTCTGTATGTCAGGGTATGACCAATAAAGATTAATCTACTAATAAGTATACAGACACAGACAAAGTAAGCCATGAGTGAGAGCTAAAAATGGCACAATCAGCCATCTACTTCTTCAGTTGTTGTATTTTCCCATTCTCTAGCTCTCAGTCTGTGTGGGGTCACATTGAATAACTGAAACAAGATTAACACCAGTCAGGATAATGTCACACACACTCCTCGGTGCCACAGAAAGGCCTTAAATGAGGGTGCCTATCCAGCTGTGCATACTAGTCAGCTGCCTGTACTTCCATTCTTCCTGCTGGCCAAGTGCTTTTTCAGCTTGCCTGCAGTGTAAGTCAGAGACTGGTTAACTGTCCACTAAGCCTGTTTCCTCTAGTTCCTGGGCATATCACTCAACTATCTTTCCTAACCTCCACTGAGTTCTAGGCCAAGGCATGTATGAGTGAAAGTGACATGCCCTCCTTCCGGGTCTCGCCCATGAAAACTTCCCATGTGCAACTCTTCATGCTGTTTTCATTTCCACAGGCTTGATGCAGACAAACATTGATACCGTAAAAGGCAAGGTTTAAAGATGGCAGAGCTGAGGAGTGGAGGAAACCCATGTTCTTGAGAATCCCCTGGGAGGAGAGAGGCCCCGCAATGAAGAATGCCCTTCCTGGGCTTGATATGAATAAGAAGTAAACTTCCACTGAGTTAAGCCATGGGATTTGAAGGTTTATCTAGTACAGCAGTTAGCCTTACCCTCCTAATAAGCCAAAGTGGAGAAAGAGGCAGGTTTACCCTGCAACTGTAACCCCTCTAGCCCCTGGACACGCACAGTATTTCATCCATGATCACCAAGCCAAAGAGGAGTGCCTTGGCCAGAACTTTTCACTGAGATTCCCTTGAGGGAAATGGGTATGTAGGAGGCTATTTGCAGGGCCATTGCTAAAGATCACACTTCATCTAAAGTCTGCAGCACAGAAGTATGAAAGGACGTGGGCTTTGATGTTGGACAGATGTGGCTTTGAATCTTGGCTCCCCCTGACAATTCTTTGGCTCCATCTCTCTGGGCCTCTGTTTCTTCATCTGTAAAATGAGGGTAATAACACCTCACAGGAGTTTTGTGGGGATAAAATAACAGCATATAAAACACTGGCACAGTTCCTGGCATTTCCAAGGTACTCAATTAGCTCCCTTCTGACAATCATGAAATTAATGAATTGGAAATTTATTTATCCTTCTAATCAGAGGACTAGGGAAGAGCTAAGCTAGCCTTTTCACTAAGGACTGTATATTTATCCTTCCATAGAAATGTTGACTGTTTCATAGAAAGAAACCAGGTCCAACAAATACTTGTGTGTGTTTTTCCTTGGTCTAAACAAGGAGAAGAATTTAAGCTTTAAGAAACTTAAAAATAAAAACATAAACAGAGGCAACATTCATTACTTTTATAACTATTTTCCCTTATAAGAAAGAAATGTCATATTTCCAGACCACAGCAGCAGAACACACGCTGGCCTTTGACCCAGCAGAAGAGAACAAAAATGAGACAATTTACACAACAGAGGGGGAGTTATGGATTTTGCTGGGTAACACCCCTTCCCATTCCCCTGTTGTCCCAGATGGAGTGATCACAAAGCTAACGAGTTGGTGGCAAGACCTCACCTTTCCCCAAGCCCATCTCTGTAGATGAAATTGAAAACAGGACGGGTAAACAGGGAACATCCTTCCAGATAAACTGGCAGAGCAGTGAGCTGCTGCAACCCCCCTGTACCCAACTGCAGGAGAAGGAGGCTGCAATGTCAGGTCAACCAGGATGCGGAGGGAAGTGAGGAAGAGAGCCACCCACCAGCATGACTAAGTGCTCTTGGGGACAATCCCCGCTCAGAGGGCAGAAAGCAAATATCCAGATGTTATGAGCTGCCAGATGTGATTAACTGAAGAAAGGTGAAGCTGCCCACTTAACCATCTGAGCAGCTCCCCTCATCAAAGTGACCCCAGACTTTTCTGCAAAAGCATTAATCAACAAAACAAATGGAGGCTCCATCCATCTCCCATCTTGCCCCTTTCCCTCTCCCCCTCTGATGCAGTCAGAACCACGGCCTATTTTTAAACCACTGGCAATGTGTTCTGCCGTGGAAATGTGTGGGCTCCCTGACACAGGCTAATGCGCACTCAGAGAGAGACACGGGCCCTCCACAGGCTTCGCCCACGTGCTGTCCTTCCTCTCCCATGAGAATGGGGCAGAGGGAGCGCAGGCAGGAGGAGAGGGCCTGACTGGGGAGCATACTACCTGTGCAGAGGAGCAGGGGGTATCCGACACTGGTTTCCATGATGGGGAACTAACTGTGGGCTTCCTTCCTCCCCGAAAGTGAAGGCTGAGGCGGGCCAGAACTAACCCCACATACAAATGCCAAGAGAGGGTTCAGGCTGAGAAGAAGAAAAACAAACCCAGGTGCCAATTCTAGCATCTTTTAAAGAAAAAGTGTTTATGTGAATTTCAGTGTCTCTGTGACATGCATCTAATGTGCTTTAAATATAATAACAAACATTTTATTAAACACTGGAGACTTTTTTTTTAGCAAGGTTGCAATGAAGCCAATTTACAAAAAAAGAAAAAAGATGACTTTTCAAGAAAGGAGGTAGTGCTGTACTTACAATCGCTCCAGCTGCTTCAGATCCTGGAAGGCGCCTCTCTCGATGATGCTGACCTGGTTGTCTTCCAGATGCCTAGAACCACAGAGGCAGTGAGGGTCAAGGACAAGAAGGGCTCAGGGATCCTCAGGCCAGGCACAGGCCACGCAGGCATGGTCATCCCACGACCCTGGGGCCCCCAGCTGGGATCAGAATGGTGGGACCAGAGTGGTGGGACAAGATAATTCACATCCCAGCTTGGTGTCACGGTAACCAGGGTTTCACCGCCTGCACACTTCTACCTGACAGATTGGTTTCCATGCCTCTATTTTAAGAATGTTCTCAGCAAATGTCCCCCCAAGCACTGCAGGATGTTGCACAGAAAAGGAAGAGGTAAAAGCTGCTTCTTATAAAAACTACACATATAATCAGCATCTCTTCCCTCAGAGCTCCCTCCCTCATGGATTCAAAAATACTTCACCACAAAGGGCCTTCTCTGCTCACTGTCTCAGGGTCAGCTAGTAGAAAGGGTGAAGCTATTGTTGGACGCCTGCCTGCAACGAAGGAAAACCAGCCTGGTGCCAGGAACTCCTTTCCCAGTGCTGCCTGTGCCCATCAGGAGCGTGATGGTCACAAAAGCTAGGGCTCCCAGCCACAGGCTCTGCTGACCTCCAAAGTCTTCCATGCAGGTGATTACAAAACTAAACACTCTGCTTAAAGTGAATTAGGTTCGTGCATGTGGCATATCCTAAGAATCGAGCATACAATGAAACATTTGTTTCCCTAATTTAAAAAAATAAATGGCAGCTTAAAACAGATTAGCTGGACGGTTGGGAAGGGAAGCAATGAAACTACATAGTTTCCATCCAGGGCTGGTGGCTGAATGGGATGAGTGTAGATCAGCGGTTCTCAACCTGTGGGTCGCGACCCCTTTGGGGGTCAAACGACCCTTTCACAGGGGTCACCTAAGACCATTGGAAAACACATATATAATTACATATTGTTTTTGTGATTAATCACTATGCTTTAATTATGTTCAATTTGTAACAATGAAATTGGGGGTCACCACAACATGAGGAACTGTATTAAAGGGTCGCGGCATTAGGAAGGTTGAGAACCGCTGGTGTAGATGGAAGTGAGCTTCTCTGGAGGGTGGAGTTTAGGAAGGGCTCTGGGCTCCTCTGGATCAGGTAGGAGGAGAAGTGCCTCGAAGCACCTGAAGCCAAGGCAGGAGGAAGGCAGAGCAGCCTGCAGAGGCTTAGCTCTCCATTCAGACGGATTCCTTCCATGACAGCCTCCACCTCGCACACCTCTGAGATGTTTCATAACCACCCAAGCCCCAAACTTCTTAGGGTTCACACTTGGGCCTTTATGTTTATTTTCAAGTCCATCTATATGCATGAGGACCAGGAGGGTTCATCATCATACTCCCAGACCTCACATTTGCCTGGACAGAAGCCACTTAATAAAGGCTAATTGAATGGATGAAAACCTAAAGAGGACTTAGGGCCACAGCACATATTGATTTTATATCAAGGAAAAGGCTAGTCTAGGCCACATGAAGTTTCTCGATTAGACTCTCAGAGTGAAGGGGTTTTTTGGAATCTCTCTCTCTCTCTCTCTCTCTCTCTCTCTCTCTCTCTCTCTCTGAGAGAGAAACTCCTTTTGAAAACTCAGCTGTCCCATGTCCAAATATAAACAATTGGCCAGAACTGAGTAGGGGTCGGCAAGGCACACAGACTCCCCACTTTGCCACAGTCCTCATCCATTTTGATTCATGCATTTATGTTACTTCAGGCCTCTGATAGACTCCCCACTTTATATGGACACCATGAAGCAGAGAGATTAAGAGACTTGTCCAGGGAGAAATTATTTATATAAAGTCACACAGCTAGTTTGGGTGGACTCTTAACTCCCACTATAGTGTGCTTGCCAGATTTGATTTAGATTTCCTTTCCTGCCTTCTTACCAGCTGATAGTAATGACACTGGGCTATCTAGTCAATCTCTCCAAGACTTTTTCCTGTAAAACAGGAAAAAAACTGAAAACATTTCATAAGTGAGCTGTGGCTGGTATGGCTCAGTTGGTTGGAATACACACACACACACACACACACACACACACACACACACACACACACATATACACATCCTGTATATCAAAAGGTTGCGGGTGTTCGATTCTTGGTCAGGGCACATACCCAGGTTGCGGGTTAGAGCCCCGGATGGGCTGCCTACGGGAGGCAACGGATCAATGTTTCCCTCTCACATCAATGTTTTTCTTTCTCTTGCTTCCTCTCATATCAAAAGGTTGCGGGGGTTCGATTCTTGGTCAGGGCACATACCCAGGTTGGGCTGCCTACGGGAGGCAACGGATCAATGTTTCTCTCTCACATCAATGTTTTTCTTTCTCTTGCTTCCTCTCCCTTCCTCTCTCTAAAATCAATAAAAGCATATCCTTGGGTGAGGATTTTTTAAAAAAATCTCATAAATGAAAATAAAAATGGAGCAAAGTATATAAATTATCTAGCCCAGGATCTCGAGTATAATTAGATGTTTAATAAATGTTATTTTCCTTCCCTTCTCTTCCTTTTCCACCCCGCCATATGGCAACGAGGGCCTTGGAATGCTAATAGACTCACGCTAGCACATTTTGCTAAACAGGGAACCAGTTCAATATTAGTGACGGGTGGTTTGTTCAGCTGGGTTTTTACCATCTATCAATCCATCACACGGCTTGTTGTCATTACTTCCCAATTATAACAAGGAGCAACATAGGGAGGCTGAGTGTCACAGCCCCTCTGGGTTTGGAAGGAGTCAAACTCCAACCCCCTATGATGAATCTCTTAGTTCTGTACTAATTAATCTAACACTGCCAGCCTCTTTCAGAAAGAGGGGTAGAAAAATGCAAATACATCTGTGTAGATAGTTGCCCCTTCCCACTTTGCTGAGGCCCCGGGAAGCTAACTTTTACCAGCTTCATCACATCAGAAACTTCCTCAACTCTGGCTTCCTGTTGGATTCAGCCAGCTGCAGTCCCCAGCAGGAGACAGGAGGGTAGAGGATACTGAGTGAGGTTAAGAGACGTATTCCCAGTTCCCTCCCTGCCAGCTCACCTCAGGTTGACTTCATCTCTCTACCCAAGACCACAGGTCCTGTCAGGCAGTCTCTACCTTTGCTAGGGTAACCACTTCATCCCACTGCTCCTCGAGGCCTAGAGACCTGTTGCCGCTAGCCCCAGGGAACTATACCATCTCTTCCTTCCCACCCCTTTGCCAATAATTCCTTATTCACTCTCCTCATTTGTCCTGTGCGAGCATCATCTCTTTCCTGCTGGGATCCTGACTGATAGGGTACCGAGGGCCCCTTCTAGAACCACTTCCTACATCTATCAGAGTCCAGCCTAATACTTGGCACTTAGGGCTCAATGAATAATCAATATTTCATGAATCGATGCATCAATGAGCTGTGAACCATCCACCCTCACTTCTAGGCTGAGATCCAGTTTGGGAGCTTATGCGAAAGCCGATGATATCACTCTCATGTTACTGACCAGATAGGGGTTCAGGGGATCCAGGAAGAGCTGGAACATCCATGGCTCCTGTCTGTTCTGAGTTAGGAGGACACAGACTATGTTCAATTACAAAAAAATTGTAATTTTTTTAGTTTTAACATTGGATCAGAATCGGAAATCGCCCATGGGATGATGGCTGGGTGGAGTTTGGCTCTTTATTGGCCCCATTTGGGAGAAAGCTGTTTCCCACATTGTGAGCATAGAAGAGTTCTTGCAACAGACTACTGAGAAAGGGAGCTAACTGATAGCACAGCGGAGTCCTTTTCCTACTCCTGCCCTGTGGGAGAAAGAACTGTGAAGGGCAATTCTTACATCTTCTCTTTGAATGCACTTTATTTGGGAAAACTGCCTTTGGATGAGGCCAAAGTTCCCCAATCTCTGTTTTATCTGCTTTTGCCCATTCCCAGCACCATGGTAACCCATTCTGCTAGGAAATGGGTGGCACGATCAAATTATTCAAGACCATCAAGTCTTGTCTGGTTTCACGATGAACTGTAAATAAGAAACTGATACAGGGAAGATTCCAAGGTGGGGTGAACGCTTTTCAAAAAAGATAGTTATTTAGGCTATTCTGCTAAACAGCAAAGATTAAGGAAAAATACCGTTGATATGTCTGGGTATTTTATTGGTGTTTGTTAGAAAGCACTTCCACTATCCCACCTGCCTGATGTTTATAGAGCAATAATGGGCCACTTGAATGGGACTGCGTATGAATTGATGAGACCGTGAAACATATTATATTGATAGAGTCTATAACGTGGGGGAAGGGAGAGGGTTTTGGCATCGCTTATCAAAATAAGATTGTACCCATTAACTGAAAACAAAATAAGAAGAATGTACCAACAAACCATAGTCAAAGGAATGTTGTAGACCATCCGGAAGATATTAACACGATCTTATGTGATTATTTTAAACTTTCTATTTGCAGAGAGAAGATATGGAAATTGGAATTTTTATTAGTCTTTCTGATGTAATGGTAAGAAAATCAAAGGGTTATTTTTGACTCTGTTAGAAAATGAAGCAGTAGGTGAAATTTCTGACTTGTATGAAAGGAAATCTTTCACAGATGCTGGGGAGTTAGAAATGGGGAAAAAATGAGAGAAGCTAAATGTCTGTTCTGTCAGCAGAAAAATTACCTGGAATCAGGTGTTTACTGCCTCTATCTCCTTGATAAAAACACCCTAACACTGAGCCCTGGAATTCCCTCATTCCTGTCCCAGTCTCAATTCTGAGCACACATACTTGTCAGAGCTGCCAGTCATCTGACAGTCATATGACTGCTTAGAGCAAAAGACAGACATGGCAGGGGCTGGGGTCTTCCCTCCAAGGATTGGAGAAGGCCGTGTGCTGGCTGAAGACTGGAGAACACATCGAGGGGAGAGCATCTGATGGCGGGAGGCCCCGCATTCGGATCCCAGTGTCCTCACACACTGGTGCTCAGGGACACTCAGGAAACAGCTTGCTCCTCCGTGGTGCATTTACAAACAGGTAGACTATTGGTTTTCTAAACTCCCTATAATGCA